GTTGAGTTGATTGTTAATTTTTATGTGTCTTTCTTTCTTTGTTGTAATTGATATTTATAAGCTCTTGGCTTATCTATGATTTTTTGTAATGCTTTATGATCTTTGGCAATGCTATATGTTCTATTATTGTTTTTTATTTTTGTGTTGCAATACTCTCATGTTTTGTTATTACCTTGACCATGTTCTATTTTCTCATATAAGTACTCATTTTTTTCCTACTAATTAGAAAACATATCTCATGTAGTTATCTTATTATAATTGACTCCTCTACTTATTAGGAAATCCAAATATTAGGTATAAAATCTACTCCATTCTTTCTATATTTGAGTGTTTATCTCATATGTAGAAAGAAATCTCATTATAAACTCATTTTATTTTCTAAAGTTCCCATTATCTCTATTGTTTAATGCATTTTCTTTATTATCCAATCTAAAAGCCTTCTTTAAATATACTATTTGAGATTGTCATCCCATAAGACAAAAATTTGAGGTGAATGCTAAAATTAAAAACCTTAAAACTAAGGTCGTTACCTCATCCGAAGAGTTGCAATCTATTAAGCTAACTTCTCGTAAAAACAAGGTCAAACTCTCATGATTTCAACAAGAGTTTGTAATTTTGCAAGTTCAAATGAGAGTTCTCTCATTATGTGAACAAGGATGGGTCACTTTTTTTAGGCCCTTTAGTAAATTTTCTGAAGTATTTCTATAACATGTAATGCTCTTTTATAAATGAATGACATTCATGTGTTCTTAGACTTGTCTTAGATGCCTTGCAAACAAACAATATGACCATAATTAATTCATGGTAGAAGATTAAAGATATTTCATACATAGAAAACTTTAGGTTCAACCAAATGAATATGGCTTTCAATTTATATGATCCTAATAACGAACTAGAATTACAATTTTTATAGATGAATAAGATAGTCATATGGACTCTTATTGGTTTTTTTCCACCATTTTCATCATGGATATTGAAAAACATGATAGGATTTTCATTTAGATCTATGTTTTTAGATGATTCTCTCCTTTTAATATTTGTATCATGATTATTCATCACAATTCCAAGACCTAAATATAGACTTTTTTTTTAAGTCTTATGGTGATTTTTCTAATTCAAAGCTTTGATTATTAACCATGATTTCATAATCCAAATATAAATTTTTCTTAAGATCTTGAAATGCATTCATATTTTTAATGTTTTGATCACAATTATTCATGGTGACCTCAAGATTTAAGTTAAAATTTATATTGTGAACCCATTACACTCTAAGTCTATAGACTTGTCTTGTAGCCTCCAAAATGTATATTAGGTTGCAAGGGTTGATGGTTTACTCCTTTTGGTCTTTCATTTGCAATTTTATAATTAAGATCATCTGGTCTCTGTAGGGTCAATAGCTATAGACTTATAATTGGAGCTTTTAATCTTTGTAGAGTCCGTATCTACAAATCCGTAATTGGAGCTCCTAATTCCTACGAGTTTGTACCTATAGACTTGTAATTGGAGCTTTTAGTTCTTGTAGAGTTTGTCTATAGATATGCAATTGTAGCTTCTCTTTGTTGAGTTTGTAGTTGTAGACTTGCAATTAGTTTCTATCTCTAGGAGAATTAATATTTGTAGACATATAATTAGAGCTTTTAGTCCTTTTAGAATTAATATCCGAAAACTTGTAATTGGAGCTTTCGGTTCCTACAGAATCGATATCCGTAGATCCGTAATTAGAGCCTCCAACCCTTGCGAGTCAATATTTAGATCTGCATAATTTTTATTATTTATTTATTTATTTTTTATTTTTGGGATGACTAGTTTTTTGAATAACTTGAAGTCTTTGTGTAAGAGATTTAGATCTAAATAATAAATTATATCTTCTATCATAATCTCCTATATCGTCATAGAAGTCATTATATGTTTTTGCGAGATAGAGTTGTCTTACTATTAGCCAACTTTAGTTCCTTGTAGTGACTTTCTATATTTTTATTTTTAGCTTATGTTGCTCCTTTAAATGTTAAGCTATGACTTTATGTTTGATGTTTATCTCTTTACAAGCCTTTTTAAACCTTTCTTCCAAAAATTTTTATGTTTGTTTCAATTCCTTTCAAGCTCCACAAGTTAACATCTTATGGAATGACTCTTTTCCTTTACTATAACTTGATTTTCATCACTACAATTCTCTTTTAAAGAATTGCTTAAATAAAAAATTTTAAAACCCGACATATTTTGAATTGACTTTTTTCTTCCATTAAAACTTTGATAATTTGAGATCATATTAAAAATATGATAGACATTCTCATTGTGGTCGCTAAAAAAACTATTACGTTTTTTTTATGCCGACTTCGATTAAGAGCACTTTGAAATAAAAGATAATATAATGCTCAAAGGTTAAAAGAAACTTTCATTTATTGTTGAGAAAAGATATTTATAGATTAAGATTTTCCTTCGGATATAATAATCGCATAGAAATTTAGTTTTTAAGGATTATAAACACAAGTTGTAGTGGTAATATAGTATCGGAAAACAAATCTCCTAGCCTAAAAATCTATTAGTCTACTTTAATTACTACTTACCAACTATTGCATGCAATCTATTGCCTCATAAGTTTCGAAGTGTTAAAACTCGAGATAGTATTTGTTTTATGCAAGTATTGTTGAGTTGATTGATGATTTTTGTGTATGTCTTTTTTCTTTATTGTAGTTGGTATTTATAGGTTCTTGACTCATTTGTAAACTTTAATAGTGCTCCATGATCTTTCATAGCACTCCATGTTTTGTTGTACTTTTATATTCTTACGTTGCAATACCGTACTCATGTTTTGTTGTTATCTTGATCATGTTTCATTTTTTTCCTATAACTATCCATTTTATTCCTAATAATTAAGAAGGGTAGCCTGTGTAGTTATCTTGTTATCAGATTTTTTTTTCTTAATTTTTTTTTTAAAATAAAGAATCAATGAGAACTTTCCTTAATAGACCACAGGGCCCTCCTAGATGCTAATTCCTACCCCAAATTTTCAGCGAGACCTGTTACAAGTGCCCTTGAAAAATTTAAATGCCGAAATTCTTCCAACCACAACAATTTTAGCAAGACCTTCTGAAAGGTCTCTTGAGAAATTTAATTGCCTAAATTTTCATAATCAATATGCAAGATAATTGTATCATTTGGACTCTATTGTTGTTTCACCTAAAAGAAACCCTGGGTTATATATTCGTAAGGTTAAGTTTGCTTTTTTATTTACATGCCAAACTGATCTAAAGACATACTATTTTTTTTTCCTTTGATTGTTAATTACGTACTTAAATGCAATAAGTTAGATTTTCCTTATCAACATATCTGCGTTTTTCACTTTATTTTTAGAAAAAGAAAGATATGCCTTGAATATATCCAAGTTCTTTTACAACCGTTAGTACTGCACTAAAATGGAATTTCTAAGTTCGAAAATTTTCAAGTTCTAAAACTACTCGACATTTTTATGCACAACTTCTAGTTCTCCATCCATATATGCCTCCACCAATCGATCTATCAAATTTCACCATCTAAGTTGGTCACATAAAATGGGAAAGACACTGCCCAGATCCATACAATGTGGTATCATCATTTCAGCCGCTAATCTTTTGTTAAAAAAAATGAGTGTGGTGGATTTCCACCAACTCTTCTTCATATTCCTCTCAACTAGAAAAAAGAAGAGGGAGGGTCCAATTTGTCAACTTTTGAGCTTGTGCAAAGGTAGAGAGTTCCAAAGCAATGCAATGCTATAATGTGGTTAACCTTAAAATATATCTGTCTTTAGCCACCCAGCAGGTAGAATAAGCTTTAAGACCAAGAAATCTTGAATAGCAGACCCACCTGTTCAAAGCCTCATCGCAACTATTATTCTACACCGATGACAGAAAATATATTAAGCAATCTGCTACTTTTCTGGCAGAACTTGTCCAGTCTATAATCTACATGTGGCTTATGCCAAATCATTGGCCTCGAACCCTCGAGTTTGAACCACATGATCAGATAATGGCAAGAAATCTTATGAGTTGAAAATCGATTAAATCATCAATCAATAAAATGTACATGACTTTATGTGTGGCAAAATTCTATCTTGGATTCTATCAATGTCCCTGGAACCTTATCGACCATAAGGGTTAGTTATGGCCAGTCATGTAGGTCCTTGAGACCCTGTTCGCAATCTGAATGCTGACATCCAATATGGAGGTAATTGCGGATAGGTGGAAACTTTCCATGATTTTCCGCACATGCCAAACATTATTGTTGTTGGCAATTTTCATAAACAACCAAGTAGTTTTAACTTTGGAAATGCAAATATGGTTCCAACATGATTTTTTATGCTAAAATAAGTATCCTACCAAATATTCTACCTGCAGTCACTAAGTAAATACTGCACAAGCATCTGCAACAATGCATATACAAAATTGCTAATTAGAAAGGCTAGGTTGGATTAACCTAGATATTCCTCTAGGATTGCCTAGAAGTTGGAATAATAGTGCTAAGGAATTCAGCACATTGTAATCATCAGGGCAGGCCACTGACAGGATATACAAAGGCACATTTAGTTGCCGACAGTAAACTTTAATTAGTTAACAATGCCCCATGGATAGTATACAATTCCAGATCACAGAATGTCAATGTCACACAACAAAAAGGAAAAGAGAATGACAGGATAAATTTTTCACTACTTTTAGTGATGTATCAGTTTAGCTGACAGGTGACCAAAATGAGGCTTATGCTTTAAGCAATATAAGTTTAGTAGCCAGTTTAATCAAAGTATTAACACTCTGGCAGCCTCACAGAAATCGAGCTGTCCTAAAATGCTTATAGCCACAGGCATGTGAAAACAATGATCATCATGGTATGTAGTTTTACACTTGTTGACTTTGAATTTGAACTCCCATTGATTCATATACCGCCACAAAAAGAGTAGCCATCGCAGTTGACAATTGTTGAATGTTTGATCTTACTGCGTCATTTATATTGCAGGATTCAGAAAATTGAACATGGGAAATGAGATGGGCAACAATAACACAACTGGATTGCGAGGTACAGATTGAAATATACTTTAGCTTTTCACTTGCTAATTCTGATGCGTTTTAATTTGCAACGCTAACTTATGCAGAAGAAGATACCACTGCCGGTGAGGCTCAGGGAAAATCTGTACAAGAACCTGTTGATGCCAGTGTTTTAAAAGAGGAAAATCATGTAGTGCCTACAGAAGAGAGTAAGGATTATCATGAAGAAGTGACAGAGTTAGATTCTGATGATTCAAAGAGTTCTGGAGTTACTCATGATCATAACCATATATCAGATGAGACAGGTTCGTGGCTTACCAATATCAATATGGAATGCACATATATGATGAATTTTATCTGTTGATTGTTGGCAATAAGGATTTGTTAAGTTGAACAGGATAATTTTAATCTGTTGATAGATTTCACCAAAATAAATAAATAAAATAAAATCCAATTCTGTTCGAAACAAACAGTGCTAAAATCTGTATATTTAACTCAGGCTTCTCTATTGTAGAACATACTGAATTTCATCCAACTGCCAAATCTCCTAAAGCTGAAACGAAATCAAATGAAGTATTGGGTGTAGATAATGAATTTCAAGCAGCTTCTTTTTCAAATGAATTGGAAGGTCATGAGAAGCCAAAAGAGTCCAATATGGAGGGGAATGTTCTGGGAACAAACAGTAATCAGCTTGAGAAGCAAGCTTCCTTCAAGAAAGGTTAGCATATCCTTAGATACTCTGTGAAACCGGATTCTGATTGCTTTAATACATGCCAATCATGCTGTCTATTTATTCGACAGAATTCAGTTCATCAATATTCAGACAGTAGAAGTGATATTTACATTTACAAAAATGTAGTAAAACCTAGTTTAAACCTTCTGTTGTTTTACTATAAATTGCTACAGAGGAAGAGGAGATCATGTCAACTTCACCTTTTGTTACAATATCACCATCACATGATCCAGAACCTCAAGACTCTGTGGAATTGAAGTTTGATCAGCATGAATTAACAGAAAATTATGCTGACCAATCCGTACAAGAAAGCACTAATTCACCGAAACCAAGTGAGAATTCCCTAGGACCAAGTGTTGCAGGCATCACTAAGGAGAATGGTCAATTGTTGAACTCCTGCCATTCTGACAATCTAGATGGAATTCTTGTTTCTGCAACCAATATAGAAGTGGAGGAGAAAAAGGATGACTTGTCGGAGACAGATATGGCATCTCAAGAAGATAAGATGCTCAGTGAAGATAAAGTTGAAGTTGGAAATGATTTGAGCAAAACAATTGTTACGAATGTAGCGACGATACAATCAGATTCTCGAAGTGATCGCAGAGAGGAATGCGAAGAAGAGCTCTCCAGAGATATGGTTTGTTATGGAAGCAATTGTTCAATGTCACAGCCAGGGGCCAATCTGATTGCTAACTCACTGAACTCCCATGCAGAACTATCTGTACCTGAAGACAAATGCATGGTCCTTGCTGAAGAAACTGAATTCAGGAGAAAAGAATCAGAAATAGAAGTTAACAAGCATCATTACAACCTGAATCAGTCAAGTGAGGATTCAATTAGAGAATCAGAGATTGACTTGGCAAATGCATCTCAAACTGATTTTGTTCTCGGACCTAGTTGCAAGAATAACGAGGAGAGTTCAATTAATGTTTCTCATGATCCTGTTAGCAATGGAAGCTGCCAATTTGAGGAGGAAAAGGTTGCTGAGAATGGCTCCCACATTGACTTATTTAATGGCATCCAGAGTGAAGCTTCTGAAGACAGCTGCAGGGAATTTGTAGGAGACACTATGATTGTTCCTAAACTTGGAATGCTTCCGGAAGAGCTATCCATGTCCAATAGAAAAGGCAATGAAGAGGAAACAGATTGTAAACTGGAGGAAGAGAAACCAGCAGAGGAGCAAATTGTCGAAGAGGTAAAGGAGAAGACGGAAGCTCCATGTACCGTTGGAAATGGTGCAGAAGAACAGCGAAGCAGACAACAGTTTGTGTCCAAATCAGTTTCAGTACAAGCAGAAGCATATATCCAACAGGCTCCGGCTTCTCCATTCCAGTTTCAAGACCCGCAAGAAGAAAGGGTAATTGCGTCTGGCGATGCTCAAGGTAAAAACGAGTTGAACCTGGAATTTAAGCCTGAGAGTTGCAAGGAGTTCCGTGCTGCAAAAGCTCCTACAGACCAAGCCGCATGCATCAATATTGCAGAGACCTCAACTTCTGCAGTAGAGTTGGCCAAAGACAAGCCTCAGCAAGAAGCTTCATACTATGTCATAGCCTTTGAACAACGTGAAAAACCTGAAATAGCTATCTTTCCAAAGGGTGACTTTGAAGCGCAAGAAAGTGTGGGAAGGCTTAGCACTGAATCAAATCCTGACAACGTGAACATTCATATACAGATACGAAAATCTCCAAGCTTTGATCTTGATCTCCGAATAGATGCAAGGAGTGAAGAATCAGATCAGACCCCACTGCTTTATCAAGATAAGATTACAACTGAAAGCTCATCAAAGCAGGCTGATGTCAGGCTTCAAAGCCCACATCTGCTTTCTCAGCATAATGAAGAGGCACTTCGACCTATGGCAGTGGAAGAGAAAGTGATTACTCCGGAAAGAAGTGATTCTGAGAAGTCAAGGACACCATTCCTTGGCTTCATGAAAGAAGATGATGAGGCTCATGTTATTGTTACACCAAAGGAACAAGACAACCATGCAGCACCAGAGAAGGCAGCTAAGGATTTGTGGAACTCACCTGCGAAGGAAGTGGCATCAGCTTCACCTAAAGGTAAAGAGAAGCATAGGCGCAGAACATCCCTCTTTGGCCATTGCATGTGTTGTGCAACAGTGATTTAATTCTATAAAAATTGCCTGTTTTCGAGTTCTACTTTTCAATTTGTTTTGGATGGCTTTCTTTTCCAAAATTTTTTTAAAAAAAGGAGTTTTGATCTATTGAGAAAATGTCGGTTGGTCCAGTTAACACAAGAAAGATTGATTACCAAATCTCCTGCATCGGTAACCTTTTGTGTTGTTTCCTTTCAATACTTATTTTGAACTTGCATAGCTTTGTATTTTGATGCAAGTTCTTAGCTGAATATCTTGATTTAATTTTTTTTGTAAGTTTCATTTGTTAGTCAATTTGTTGGAGAGAAATTGGATGGTTTGGAAAGGAAATTGTAAAGCAGGCAGCTTTGGGGCTTGCTGCCTTTGATTGTTATTACTATTTGTTTATTCTATTTATAACACAATCTTAATGAAGCCTTATGATTGAAATTTCAGGAGTTTTGTCTTGTGTTAACATTGTTTTCATGATAAAAGGAAGTAAAAGTCAGATTGGATTAGAGGTGGTACTCAAAAAAGGCCGCCAGATAGACATTCTGACATGAATAATATTAGTTGTTGTGTTTTCCGGATTCTGGAGGCGTCCTCAAGGCACATACGAAATTGTTCCCTTTTCTGATAGAACCATGTGGCTGGGAGACAGCCCATGGACAGTAATCTGTCCTTCAGCATGCAGGGGGAGGCCCAAAGAAACATTCTCCTGTTAGTTCAAGACGACAATCAGTTGAGGCAAAGCTATGAAAATATAACATAAGAGTACTGCTTGTGCTTTGTCAATTTTTGGTTACTTTATGCAAATAAAACGATGCATTAGGGAGACAGAATCCCTTGAATATAGTAATTTTCTAACCTAACATTCCCATTGGAAGCACTAGCCAAATGACATTAGGATTTTTTTCTGTATAAACACTGCTGAAACATTCAATTGGCCGTGTAAATTCTAGAATGAGTGACAGAGAAAAAAAAAAAAAACCCTTTTCAATGGGAAAACAATTAGATAATGGGGCATCATACTTTACGTTTTCGTACAACGCAGGGTACTAGGATCTCGCTATTTATGATCAAATTCCTACCGTCCTTGTCAGATGAGCCAAGTCCAAGGAGGGAAATGGCATCATCATACATTGAAAGGGAAGGAATAGTAAACCTTAGCCATTAATCCTTCTTAGCTATGTTCATACATCGTGTCTCCATACGCGCAAATGCAAAACACTTCACACGCTTACATACCACGTGGGTCTGGACCAGTGACCATTTTATGGACGTCGGTATTACTTAATTATATAAGCGTAGGTCATTTTAGAAAGCAAATATGAAAGAAAGATAGGAAAGAGCAGGTCAAACAATGGGATAGGGATGGTTTTCCTCTTCGTCTTTAAATAAACAAAACTAGGGATATATCAAAAGTTTCTTGATCGAATTCTTGGAAAATATTGCTACTTTACAGGCACGGCCGAGTAGCCGACCATTGGTCGTTAGTCAAAAGTCATGATTCATGCACTACAAGTACAACCAAAAGTTGGAGAAATTTCCCATCTGCATACCTCCTTCGAGTTGGAGTTTTGGAGGGTATAGGAAGTTATGGGCAAACTACAAATCAGTCCCCCAACTATATGGGAAGTTTAATTGAGTTTCCAATATTCAAATATTAAATCACACTACTCTTAAATCTATCACATCTTACTCATTATCACCCTCATCTGCCCATCAGAAGCATTAGACAAGATTGATCTGGCCCCACTTCCAACCCACAGAAACAAGTCCTAATTGCCAGTGGCAGGTGGTACTGTGTTAACAAATTAATAAAATTGTGCTCATCCGATGACTTTTGCAATTGTACAAGAATAACTCTTGCATAATTATGTGAACAGAACTACATGGAGACAAGAAGTATGGTCCACCGTACTCTCTTGGGGTGTGTGTGTCTATATATATATACACGTAAGGCTTGAAACTTCACACGTATCACTCGCTCTTAAGAACAGTTTCGTATAATCACCATAATTTTTCAGCTTTGATACACATTGCCCCTCCATACAAGGCAAAGTAGGTTAGCTTGAATAAGAGACACATGACTTCTGGTATTATCATGTTAATTTTCAAGAGAATCCTTCATGACATATCTAAATAACCCGCGTTACCGTATAATTTATGCTGGGTTTTAAAAGAATGGCCGTATAAAACACTCAAGATTACATATATGGATGTAAATCTGGAAAATTCACCTAAATCTTATCAATCGAATATCTAAATAAATATAGACAATCAAGATTAACTTTATTTGACTAATAATAATTATAAAATCATCACACTCTTTCAAATCAAGTTCTGTTGATTTAAAAAATTATTTATCTGTCAAGAGAATGTTATTTTTTTTAAATAAAAAAAATCATTCTATCTCTTTTTTCATGTAACTTGAAAAGGCTTTAACTGTTTAAATAAAGAAAAGATAAAAAAATTCTAAATCTTTAAACTCACAACTATCACTCCACATCTTCTAAATTAATATTTTTTAATATAAAAAAAATTGCTCAAACTATCATTTTTGAAATTCACATCATCGAGATTTACAACTTCATTACTCGCGGAGAAAGTTCCTTGTATGTGCATTTTTGTTATATTCCTATAATTAAATTTTAATGAAGTGCTTGCAAAGAGAATCATATTTTTTATTCCCAATCTCTAAAATATGTTTCATATTTCACGGCCATTAAATGTGAATAAAATACAATTCCATTGAATGATTAATGCTTTGTCGGCATGAATTTTGTACCACAAATTCATGCCGTTCGTTTGCCACCATTAACGGTCCCGTGGCTTTAAACTCATACCACCAGCATTAGTACTTGATTTCATTTACCACTAGTTACAACTAGTGTTAGATTTAAATTGTTACAAAAATTAAGTGATGCATGTGTTAGATCAGCAAGAAGAATGCATGATTCTATTGATTTTCTTTTGACGTATAACATAATATCTTGAGATTTTGAATAAGATTGCATAGATTATTTTTTTGTAGGATTCAATTGAAGTCATCTCTATAAATTGGGGACTGATTTCTAGCTTTATTTTATAGATAGTTTTTATGGAAGCTAAATATCTAATATATTAAAGAAGCGAGAGAATTTGAACGACAGAAGGTAAGAGCCAAAGGGTTTTTGCTTTCGCCGAAGCATTTATGCCATACAACACGCACTAGAGAGTCAACACTAAAATTATATTACGAAATCTAATTCCATTCAAAAAACACGATTAAACAACTTTTGGACTAGAAAACAAAGAATACAACTCAGCTTTAGATAAATCAAATGGTGATTTTTCAGGTCATTCTACTTTTTGGTCATTGATCTTTGGCTACCTAGCTACAACAACAACAACAATACATCAAATGGATACAATAATTGGAGAAGGCTGATTTCTTATGGAATTGAGATGAAAACCAATGAATTTTGAGCATGGCATCTTCAATTTGATGAACTGAATATTTTTTTACCCCACAGTCATCATCATTTTAACAAATTCTTCATAATTAACCTGACCGTCGCCATCCAAATCAGCCTCTTTGATCATCTGCTCCACCTCTTCATCAGTAAGCTTTTCACCTAAATTGATCATAACATGCCTCAACTGAACATGAACAAGGAGCAAAATTTTTTAATTTGGTTAGATTCTCTTGCCAATTAAAATAAGTAAAATACTATAATCCAAATGCATTGTCCCAAGAAAAATGGTTAATGTTCATTGCATGCTGAATCGTACAGCTTATCTTATACGGATTGATGTGTAAACTAAACCACTAACTTAGGAGAAACATGTGAAATAACAGATAAAAGACTTAATTTTTTTTTTTTACACGAATATTAATATCAAAGGTTTTACTTTCTTTATTTTACTTTTGCTGTTCCTGTAAAGCATGAGTTTGATTAAAAATTGAAACCTAGACAGTGTCTGCTCTCCTTTTCAGGAAAGCAAATATCATCGAACTAACCGAATGCTCATTCGGTAAAACTTTTATCACCTCTAATCTCACTTTCTTTTCTTGTTATCATTTATTGTTTGATTTTTAAAAAAAAGGCAGTAAAAAAAATAAGAATGTTTTAATCTAGATATAGGTAGCGCTGAGCATATTCTTATTTTCAAGGCAAAAACTTCTCACTTTTTTGCATGTAATTTTTCTAAACACTTGTAAAGCAGTACTATCATCGGATAATTTGGGGTTTAAATGAAAACTTATTTGCATGCATATATATATATATATATATATATACACATATGGTTATGGTTTCTTTTCCCTCTCCTTTCATTGATAATTTCTTAAGCTCGTTTGTCGACATCATCGACTGCTTATATTGTTTATTTAATATATTCTCCTTTTCCGTCAACGCCAACCTACAATAAAAACAAAAGCAAGGGACATCGATGTCGATATGTATGAATATACACAGCGCCATCATTTTAAATTTTAGAATTTCTGAAAATCTTTTGGAACTCTGAATTTTCAATTACATGAAAAGTAAATAACCGAATCCATAAGTGAGAGGTTTTAAGATCTTGAATTAGTTTTCACCCTATGAATCTTATGGGCACTTACTATAGCCGTGAACTGTGTTCAATAAATATTTCGAATGAAGATGTTGGTTTATGTATATTGAAAAAAATGGAAAAGAAAGCCAAATTAATTAGAATATTACCTCAGTAGCTGATATATAGCCATTCTGATCCTTGTCAAACACTTTGAACGCCTCTTTAAGTTCCTCCTCCGCATCAGTCTCCTGATAAATTCATCAAAATATTTCAAAACTATAGCAAATATATATATTTGTTACTAAAGGCTATGTAATGTTTGATTAATTACCTTTTTAAAAAAGAAGAAGAAGAAGAAGAAGATGATGAAATACTAATATAAAAGGGCAATATTAATTAATTATAGTATCAAAAAATTAATGTGTGACACGTATATAAATATGATATACCTACCTTCATTTTTTTGGCCATCAAGCTTAAAAACTCAGCAAACTCTATAGTCCCATTTCCATCCGAATCAACTTCGCTTATCATATCCTGAAGTTCTTCTTCGGTTGGATTTTGATCCAATGACCGAATGACCGTGGCCAATTCTTCAATGGTAATGCAACCTGCATGCATATATATACATAATTATGTATGCTAAGTTGTAATTAATATAGATATGAACACAAATATTAATTAATATCTATAAATTACCAACAACAAATTATGATATAAATAAGCTAATCAGAAAGTGGAAACTGACCATCTCCATCCTTATCAAACAGACAAAAGGCTTCTTTAAACTCCACAATCTGTTCTTCAGTGAGTACATCTGCCATTTTGTTTTCGCTTTTTAATTCAAAAACGCCCTTAGAAGTTTCTGATTAATGTGAGTGAGAGAGAGAGAGAGAAGAACGTTGAGCACTGTAGGCTAGCTCAAGTGAGGGAGAGGGAGAGGGGTGGGGGAGAGAGAGAGAGAGTATGTTTTTTTATTTTTTTTCTCTTTTGGGGGCTAATGAGAGAGAATAAGTTGAGTATAGCTCAAACTTAGCTGGTTTAAGTAGACCTCCAATGCGGTAGAGTGTAGTAGGGATTTTTTTTTTCTCCTTCAAATTAAATAAATCACGAGTCAAACCAAGCTTATGACCAGATTGGTTGCTACGGTAATGGCTAAGAAAGAATCAAACTGGCCATCTGCTCTCTCTCTCTCTCTCTCTTGGACCAATGACCTTTCTTTCTCTCTCTCTCTCTCTCTCTCTCTTCTTTCTTTTTAAGCAAACGTGATCTATAATTATATATGCAAATTGTATCTATAGGTAGTAGGAAACCAAAAATAAACAAAAATATTGATGTATGGCATAAAGTTTATGTATGTCTGTGTGGAGTATAGCTAGCTAGCTTGCTAGAGATGTATGAATTGTATATTTGAGTTGAAAAATGGTACAGCTGTAAGGGTTTAATGTTTAGGAGACAAATAGCATTCAAAGAGTAGACGGAGGGCTTATGGGGAGATGTGTACTTTGCTCCCCCAGTTTAATTTTCCACCCAATCCCCACGGTGCTTTGCTTGTACGAGCAGAGATGGGAGAAAGATCTGTTTTTTCTCCATCCAGCAAAAATCAAAATTAAAATCTACGCGTTTTGGCCGTGACCTACATGTATGCCTCTTGTGCTAACCGTTGGTATAGAAATGTAATGGTTGATTTTTCATATATCAAAAAGAATATATATATATATATATATATATATATATATATATATATATATATATATTGTCACTTTTTGCTTATGAATGGTACATCTACTAGCAAAATGAATAATCTAATGATTAACATATGTGTATGTATACATATATTTCATAAAAATTAGTTATGCCAGTTCTATAATTAGTACTGTAAATGGATTGAATCTCGAGCTGAATATGATATAATTAAATAAATTTGATATATTATTTTTTTGATCCGAGTCTAATTATGATCCGAATTTATTAACTCATTTATTAAATAGATCAAATCCGAATATATCTTGATCCGATCCGATAACAATCCGATTCGAAATTAAAATAATATTTTCATAATAAATAAATATTTTTTAAATATTAAAAAATTTATATGTGAAAAAAATATAAATATAAAACTAGATTGAAATTTAGAATTTATTTATTATAAAGTTCAAATAATGTATATCTTTTAATATACATTTCTTATCATTTTCTTTATTCAATTTCATAAAATAAATTATAAATTGACTTATATATATTTTCAAGAGTTAGTGTTATTATTTATGTCATCACCCTATTTTTACTACCATGTGGACAAGAAACAAAATTTATTTATTATTATTATTATTATTATTATTATTATTATTTTAGTTCATCACACTTTCTACTTGATTCAAAACAAACTTTTATTAAAATTATATATTATGTGCTTTTGAATTGTGTGGTATTTTGATTTTTTTACAAAATTGATACATGAAATTTTATCTTAAAATATTTTATTATACATATAGTGGTTGAAATATATTTTATATTCAAATGATATATTAAATGTAGTAAGAATAAATATTCTACAAAAAATCAAGTGATAAATCTTGTAAAGTTTCGAATCCGATCCTAGTCCATTGGGATCGGGATCCAAAATCATATTTTTAAAATCCGATTTGAATTCATAAGATTCAATCTAATATATTTCATTAACAAAATCGAATCCGGATCTATTATGATCCGATTTGAGTTCGATTCGTTGACAACTTTATTCATAACATGTGTCATTTTTTCATGCATATAAGTTATAGGATTGTTGTTAAAATCATAATTAGTTTCTAATGCAATGTTAAACGCATGCTAGAAATTATAAATAGAATTAACTCGATTTAAAAAGCTCAAGACTATATTACTAATTTTTTTTCCACATAATATATGACATCTAAAAAACATCAATAATATTACTTGTTTATATCGAGTTTTGGATGATTAGTTTTTCTTACCTTTAGAAGAATATATGATTAGTCATTGATCTAAATTAGATGAAAAAGAAAATAAAAAAATAAAATAATTATATTTTTATTTTTTAAAATATGTTAAAATTATATCCATTTGTGTTTGAATTTGATAATTAAAAAAAACATAATTAAACATTAAAAGATCTCTATCCACTTGTATCATAATGTTCCCTTCTAACAATTACGGTTCAGTTCAATAACTTTATTGTTTACAAAGAGTTAGGATATTTGGCAAAATTAAAAGATGCACATGATGAGATATATATATATATATATATAGGGGTGATCATTATTCGGTTAAAATCGAAAAACCAAACCGAACCGAACCGAATTAACAATTTCGGTTCGGTTTTTAAAAAAATTGAAAAAAAAAAAACCAAAAGCGAGAACCGAAATTATTTCGGTTCGGTTCGATTTTTTTCAAATTCGGTTTCCATCGAAAACTGAATTAGTTTTTTTATTTATTTTAAACACATACCCAAACTCTTTTTTTTTTTTTTTTTTTAAATCAAAGAGGCACCTATGTGTTTAACTAAAAGAACAATAGCTTTAATGATTTTTTTCTACTTAAAATAGAAATATTTTTCATTAATTATTTATTGAAATACAAAATAATTGATTATATTATATTGACTCACAAAAAAATAAAAAAAAGACTATGATAAAGAAATTCTTTATAAAAACACAAATTTATGTATGGGTGAATCCTAAAACCTCATGAAAAAAAAAATTGTCTCCTTGTATTAAAATTGGCACAAACATAAATTAAAAATTAGATTTTTCCTATTATATATTCAACAATAAAATATGCACAAAATAAATAGATTAAGAAAAAGAATATGAAAAATTAATAAAAAAACCAATTATAGCGTGATTGAAAAAATAATGAGAAGCCCAACTAATTTAGTTTATAATATAAATAAAAACAAATTTATTATAGAAAAATAATAATAATCATACATAATTTTCTTATGAAATCAAATGTGAAATATGTAATATTTGATTATGCAAGTTTGATTATTTTTTAAAAGCAAAATAATTCGATTTTTAGAAGAAAAAAAAGCAAAAAAAAAAAAAATGGTTTTTAATCAAAAACCGAACATCAATTCGGTTCGATTTTGATTTTTGTTTTAACTAATTTAATTAACCGAAAACTAAAAAAAAAAATATCAAAATCGAACTGAAAAACCAAATGATCATCATATATATATATATATATATATATATATATATATATATATATATATATATATATATATATAACCCTGTCTTACCACGTGGGTAATATTTAACTAATAGTATAGGATTAACAGTGACAGCCTTTACTTATAAATGCATATTAATGCGACTGCCTCCTGTCGACGCGGTTTCTCTTTATTAAGCTCAACTGTCAAAGCTTAATTACAACATCTTTGCGGGGTGTATTACTTACGATACAGTACGGTCAGTACGTACCATGGAATTTGGTACGCGGCTTCTTCTATAAGGCCCAGCACTCACGTGAATTCTGCTCCAAAACTTGGACTTTTTTATTTGAACCTTCAAACTTATATGCCCATCTGGAAATTATTAGAAGACTTTTTACCTATAAATATTTTAGTTTGAAGGAAATCCATCGATCCAGTCCTGATCGTGACTTGGCCTCACCAACTGCTGATGCAGCAACTATGTTCAACTTAATTCTCGAACACGAATTGAGACAGAGAAAGAGAGAAAAAAGAAGAAGAAAAAGTGACATTCAAAGTACACACATTTGAACAGGAATTGATGAATCAGGATGTTGGTTGGTCAACAACAAGTCTTACACCTGTAAAACTATTGGTTGATAGAAATGAAGGATGTCATTAAGTAAAAATTGCTAGCCCAATTCACCATATATTAATCCGCCACGTTAATTTCATGCATAGGACCTATCAAAATCTAATCGTTGGGATTCATATTGGAAAGGACAAAAATTTTCTACTTCTCTAGATGTAGAATTTTCCTAGTTTGCTTTTCTTCTTTAATATTTATCTTTTTCTCCTTTTCCATTACCTTAATCCTTCATATGACAAAAAGAATCTCTTCAAACCTCTCTTTTATAGGGTTTTTATTGGTTTTTTTTTTTTGTCTATTTTTTTCATAATTTAACTGAGGATTTATATTGTAAAATCATAAATATTGATCAACCACTTAAACAATTTATTGCAGTACTCAATCTAAGAGAGAGTCTTGATATATTGATTTTGAGATTTCATGTATTATAGTGAAAAGAAAAAAAGATGAAGAAAAAGGAAGAAATTATTAAAGAAAAAACATAATCAACGAAAAAGGAGGTGAAATTGAAAGTATATCTTATACATGTTTAATTATATAAAAGATATTTGAATGCTTTTTTAAATGAATGTCATATAAAGGAAGTAGAAAATTTTCTATTTCTCTACAAAAGTAAGAAATTGTTATCTGATTGAAATTGTAAAACTCTCGGTTATTTGACCACTTATAAATATTGTTCTTAATATTATTGATTTGTTACATATACCATTGCCATTTAGATGACAGGAAATAAAAATCATCATACAATATAAAAATTTATGTGGTTCGTTAATTGTGTCTACTTCATGGTCGTACTATGATTTTTTATTAAGTTTTATCTAGTAGCATCTATAATTAAAAGTGATGTTGCCTTTATTTATAGTGTAGACAATGAGAGTTGTAAGGAAAAAAAAATCTAACAAGCCTATACATATAATCTAATATTTTGTAGATCTTTCGACAGCTCTGTTTTTAAGCCTCGCAAGAGATGTTGTTCCCAATTCATTATTAATATCGTATGCATAGCGTTTTATATTATCGGT